AGGTGCAAACAAGTGGATGAGATCAAGCAGCCTAGTTCTAGCTCAGGCTATTCAAAAAGGCAGTCACATGCTTTTCAACTAAATCACATAAACGAACACACACAAAAATGGATTTTGAGAATTGCAGAAAATTCAAGTACCTCGGTGCTGATAGCTCATGCCCTTCTTTGCCCCTTGCCGGGAAAGGAGCAGCAGGACAACCACTCCCCAAAAGTTCTCCTCAGAAAGACATACAAAGCTATGGGGTCATTGCTTTTCCAACTGCATCCAAATTCTGCCCTCCATGTGTTGTATGGAACAAAGGTTACTTAGAAAATGATGCCTGGAGCCAAACTGATTAAAGGTACTTCAGCATAACTATAGTCCCAGCACTTTAAAAGCACCAAAAGCTACAGATACGGAAAAAGGGGAGGAAAGAAAGAAGATGTGCAAGTATTGCATTGGGGGGAGGAGGGGGAGAAGAGGGGAGGAAAAAAAATCAGCCAAATTACGCTTGGTTAATTCAGAGTAACAGATCTGCCCCCAAGTGAATTGGAGGCCTTGAATTAATTCTGTTATGACAAATCAAGATAAACGTTCCCCCTAAATTGCATGCGATTTAATTAATTTTTGAGATCCTGGATTTTTTTTTTTCCAAGCTAATAGTTCACATGCTCCTGTGCTGTCATTGTGCTTGAGTGGGCAGACTTCAAAGTGATATTAAATAACCAACTATTAGATTTACCTAGCACGTCCTATTGGAAAAATGCCATTTAATTACCTAGCCTGTTCAATTAAAGGGACAGCATTCCCTGAATATAGCAGCTTGCTGTTGATTACCAGAAAAATGAACTCGCTGCCTGGCGGCTCCTTGCTTTTCCTCCCCTACTCAAATAGCTCATACTGCGGACAACCATGTGAATGGCAATGAGCAACGAGAAGAAAATAGAGTATCTTTTGCCTGTTGAAATAGGGATCGAGTGCCTGCCCTGGCACGTCAAATACTCCATGGGCCTTAGCAGGGTGGCTGGGTGGGAGAAGCTGAATAGTCCATTCCATGCAAGACAAAACCATTTGATCTGAACCTTAATTAAAGCAAAAGAAAAAAAAATGGGGGGAGGGGGGAAAGGCACCCTTTTCCCACTTACACCCGTTCCAAGCAACAGATTCCAAACAGGACATATTAAACTATATTAAAGAACCCTGGATGTAGAGATGGGCGCTAAAAGCACTAGCCCTTTAAGAAAAGTCTATTTTGCTTCTCCACCATCACACTTTTCAAATCCACCCTAGCCAATTCTCTCTCTTGCTCTCTCCAAGGCCAATTTTGTTAATTAAATGTTTTGTTTGCGACACCACTCTCATTCATTTCGGACACGTCATTCCAGGCAGATCTAAGCCAGGGATGAGATCTCATTAGATAAAACCTATCAGAAACAAGAGAAAATGGAGGAGACATTAATTAAAGCTCTTAATTGTACAGATTCACTGCCACACTGCTGCTGCTGCTCTGCTGCTTTATCTAGAATCTCATGACTGGGAGGGCTGCCCATTACCCCCTCCTTTCTAGTCTCCCCCTCCTTGGTTTACTTAGAGTACTATGGTTGCAAGTTAAGGAGCCAGAAAAAAAAGTCAATGGACGTCCATCCCCTTTACACATGCACACACGCATCCTTAGCTGCCAATGCAATCTGCAGCTGTTTTGAGCCCAGTTTTGAAAAACTACAGTTCAAAGTCACTGCAAAAGCCCCTTGATTAAAAAAAAAAGGAGGGGGGGGAAGCAAATCTACTCCTATCACAGTCTTAAAGCAGTCGCAGGCTTTCATTTCAGAACTGAATAATCAATTCTCCTCTCAGCTTTATAATGAAAGCATCCCACTGTAACTCTAATTAAAATCATAGTTGGAATTTCTGCACATAGCCCATTGGACAAAATAGGACTTTGGAGGACTGGTCTTCTAGCACCTCTTGTTATCCCTTCCTCTATTAAAACCATACCCAACAGATCAAATGTTGATGAAATGGTTGCATCCCATTTCTTGGCAGACTAGAATTTCCACTTACTTGTTTTGGATACCAAAGGAAAATCTGGTCTTTTTATATATCTAGATTTGTCTATGGAATAGATTTCATTTTACCTGGCAAACTACTTGGTTCTACAGAAAAGTCAGGTTGATGGAATAAAACCAGTTCAAATTTACCATTTGATAAAGACCACTGTTTTAACAAACCAATACCACACCTGCAGTATATTTTGACCAGATTAAAAAACCTGAAGGACAGATTCCAATAAACTGGTCTGAACTTGCCTTAGGGATACAGTAGGGAACTTCTTTTTAATTAGTAGTGATCATACGAGGTTGGTTTGACGGTTTTAGTAGAAAGAGACGAAATCTGTACTGTTCATTGAATCTGAACAGTAGTGTCAATTTTTCCACTTCAAACAAACCCCTTTCTCTAACCGTTCTGCTCTATTTAATTAGAATTATGTCTCGCTTATATAGTTGCTTCAGACAGGGATCAAGAATACATCTGAGCAAGCTTGCACAAACTTGTGCTTTACCATTTATTCTAAAAATCTAGATGCTTAGCAAAATTAATATTGGAAGCTGCCTAAAATCTTTTAATGACTTTTTTTTCCTGCGTTCTATTTAGCTGGCTGAAGGTGCCTGCAGAAAAAAAAAGGATATACAATAAATTACAAGCAAGCAAAAACCTCTCTGGTGCATTATTCTCAGATATCGGTACAGGAGAGCCAAAATTCAGCACAGTGCTACACCTTGTAGTAGTGCGCCTTGTAGTACTATACAGGTACTACAGTCCAATAGGAATTCTACCAGTAAAGTGTTTAAAATATTTATAGCCAAACACTAACATCTGAGGCAGGAGTATAAAGGAAATATTCAACCATGGAACTGGTTGTTTCACCCTTAAGACACTTCTATAAATGCAATCTATAAAGTACAAAAGTAAAGACTACTGAGGCAACACCCCATATGCCTTTTTTTAAAAAACATTCTTTCCGTGCCAAAATGGGATGGTGTGTGTGTGTGTGTGTGTGTGTGTGTGTGAGAGAGAGAGAGAGAGAGAGAGAGAGAGAGAGAGAGAGAGAGAGAGAGAGAGAGAAGCTGTTTAATTACTGGCTGCTGAACTAGAACACCCCCTCTACGCATTCATGTGCATCAGTCTATCAAGCCATTTACTCAAATTAAAAGTGTAATCCTTCAAAATGCCTCCTTTCAAATTAGTTTAAAAGAGCTCAAGTTTACCTGAAAAGATCCAGTAGGTACCTGGCCTCTTAAAGTTCTTCCTTAATTGCATCAAAAACTAGTTTGCATTAGGACAAACAAAACTGATGTTGAAAGAGTGAGATGAGTGCTTTATGTAACTAGAGATATTTCACTGTTTATTCGTCTACATCCAGTATTCCCGAGCCACTGAAAAATAAGCCCTCTAGCAATATGAACGTAAACATTACTAATGGGCTACAATTTGGGGTGTGTGTCACCACATCAACAGCTGATCAACACTTTTACAACATACGTACAAAAAACTCATCGTTCTAAACACCTTTTATTGAAAATACCACAGTAAATCATTACTTTATCCGTTCACAATCTCAGCTAGCTCTATCCTTGCTTTTTCTGTTTGTTTAAGGTGGCAAAGAAACCCAATTTTACTTGTGCAAGATAGGTTTTAGCAGCTGTGAGCTGGAATTCTTAAAAAGTTCAGGAGCACCTCGAAAGTTAATTTATTCACATATCTCTCCCAACTTTTCTATTGTTATCCGGGGAAAGACATGCCCTTATAAAATCAGGCTTCTAGTTCTAAACTGCTACCTACAGATGGGGTTATTTCCACCTCAAGCTTTCCTTCATATCTGCGCCCCTTCTTCAAAGAACCAAACTACTTTCCCTCTGCCCAACTCACCTGATATAGTCGTTTCTGCACAGGATCATGCCACTCTTCGTGTAACAGGATGTACCAATTTCTCCCAGCTGGGCTTGGCAGCAGGAGCACTTCAGGCACCGACTATGCCAATAGCTATCCATGGCATAGAGCAAGAAGCGATCAGCAATCTTTCCCCCGCAGCCTGCACATCTTTTCCATGAGAGGGAGCCACTGGTGACAGGGGGGGGTTGCGAGCTGCTGCCTGGGTTCACCATGGTCTGGATGGGGGGGGGGGGAAAGGAAAGAAGGAAGGAAGGAAGGAAGGAAGAAAGAAAGGAAGGAAGGGGAAGAGAAGAGCGGGTTAATTTTCAGCAAACAGCCCTGTGCAATTTGCCTGCTTAATGCAGCACTTCCTAAAGGGAGAGAGAAGAGAGAAAGATGGGGAACAGCCACTTGTTTACTTTTCAAAGTCTTTGTTCTGGGTTAATTAGCCGCCTCCCTTCCAAGTTGGCTAGTGGTGCCCAGTGACAGTTTTAGCTTGCAATGCTCCTGTCAAACTTAGAGTGACCCCCGCTTTGTTTGTTGCCAAGAAAGTACACACACCTGGAGTCACACAGTCTGCTTGGCCCTCCCAGATATAAATGGCTGGGGCCCACATCACTAAAATTGGAAGGGCAGAAAAACTAGTCAGAAGGGCACCAATTACACTTCTTGCGAAGCACAGTTGTAGTATTTCTCACGTTTAGAAGAGTTCAGGAAATTGTTTAGTTCTAGGTAGGAAAGTAATCTTTTGGAAAAAAAAAATACTAAAAAGTTGTGAAACCGGTTTTTCAAGGTCTCCTTTTTCATGCCATTGTTATTTGCAGGGGCTCCCAACCATGATTGTCCTAATGTATTTGTTCTAAAAAAGATCAAATGAAGGGGAGCCCCACCTCCTGAAAAAAATAATGGATCACTAAACTTTAAGAAGCCTGTTAACTTCCTATACAAACACAATCTACCTTTGTTTTGCTAATCTGCCCTTGATCAGCAATTTAGATGCTAAATGCTGTTGCCCTAAAAAAAAAGTTTTGTGGTAATAGCAGAGGTATAGATTATTCAAGTGTGCCCCACTAGGAAACAGCTAAGCACAGCTGTTTGTAAAATTGCTGTTTTTGTTTAAAGATTGTGTACACACACTCACAAAGAGATGTGTTTGTTGCTTTCTAATAAACACTTCTAAAAGCAGGGCAATGGAGAGATTAATAATAGAACCAATTCATAAAGCTTATTCCAAACAGATTAATTTGCTCCAGCAGCCAAAATAGGAGTGCCCCTTCTGTCATTTCTGTAATAAAATATCAAGTTGTTTACTGCCAATTTAGCAGCACATTTTGCCTTTGTCCTTCCTAAGCGCACTTTCTCAACCTAAGGCATCTATTTATTTAATAAGACCCCCCTTTCCCAAGGGAAAAACAGTGCAAACTTTCCTCGCCACTTGCTTAACTTCATTTCAACAGCAGCTTCAGGTTCCTTAAAATAGGCCATTAAAAAAAGAATAAAACAAACAGGATTTCCTTCAAAATAACTCCTGATCATATGTTTCAGATGACCACACAATAAACCAGACTGAGAACTGCACCAATTAAGACTGTAACTAAAAACCCCAAGACTTGGGAAAGAGAACCACTCTAAAAGCCATTAGCATTGCATTTCTCTGAATGCACCATATACCTTTATGTAAATTGATTTCTGATGCATTTAACTCACGGAATGGCCTTTTGTTACTACTTCCAGCAATATGAATCTGCATTTCTTACTTTTATTTAAAACAAACAGATTTCAAATTATATAAAGCGTATTGAGATCGTCTGTAGGCAGACAAACACAAACCCACTGATTTGCTCTTCCCTGCCCCCCCCCAATCTGCTTTGAAAGGTAAATATTATATATAAATGAAAGAAGAGTCCAGTAACCCCATTAAGCTAAAGCTCTTAAGGACAGGCAATACCTTAATGCTGATTAAATCTAAAAGAGGCCAAATCAAGAGGACTGACCAGAAAGTGACTCCCTGATAACTAAGGACAGGTCCTCCTCAAGTTTCATTTGGAATTGGAGGGGTGACAGAGAAAGAGAAGAAAAGCTTTTAAGTTAAATAGGCTTACTCTGGTAATTACACAGCTAAGCAATTTAGGTCCCGGAACAGAGGCAATGAAACAAAAAGAGAGAGAGAGAAAGATTGAGAAAGAGAGAGAGAGAGCTGGCAGCTAGAGGCAAAACACACCCTCCCTTCTTTTAACAACGTCTCTTGTGATTTTAATGGAGACCGAGGGAGGAACGAACGTAGAGCTTTGCAATTTGTTGTACAAAATCGGGGATGCTTAATTCACGGCTTGGTTTTAATTAGGTTGATTCATCAAGATTTCTCGCGAACAAAAAAGGAGGGAGAAGAAGAGAGAGGGAGAACACACACACACACACACACACACACACACAACAGCTCACTTTAGAGTCTCCCTCCCCCCGGCAACCTGCCACTGTTTCAAAATAATGTGACTACAAAGAAAGTGGGGTGACGGTCCTCTCCTCCCAGCTTCGGGACTCACAGGCGGATTTCGGGCAAAGGGGAAGCGAGGCGCGCGCGGGGCAAAGCGCTTCCCCCCCCCCCACCACCGCCGCTACGGGGCAGCCCCGCCACCGCTCAGCTGGCAAGGACTGGCAGGCAAGCAGCCCTCGGCGGGTCCCGAGCAGAAAAGGCTGGCGATGACTTCCAGTTCCGGATCGGGATGGGGAGGAGGCGAAGCAGGGTTGGGAAAGGGGCCCGATTGGGAACCGGTCCAAATAACAGCCCGGCCCCAGAAAGAGGCGCCCCCCCCCGGTCTTACCTGTTTTCCCTCTATGGTGCAAGAGGCCGTGGATAACGTGGCGGAGGCGTCGGGAGAGCCCTCGGGAGACGGAAAGGTTTTCTCGCCCGAGAAAGGGGTCTCTTTCGCCTGCTTCTTGGAAAAGCCACTCCCGAAGCTTGGGTTGGGCGAGCGCGGGGTCCTCAGCTCGGGAGAATCCCCAGCCCCAATGCTAAGAGCAGCGGAGAGAGGTAGAAGATAAAAGAGGCAAATGTCCGGGAAAAGGCTGCTTCAGCCCTGCGTTCTTCTCTTCCTTCCTTCCTTCCTTCCTTCCTTCCTTCGACCGCCGAGGCTTCCCCCTCGAAGGGAGCACAAGAAGAGCTTATTCGCGGCTGCCGGGCTGCCAAAAGCGAGCGCGGGCGCCTTCGACGTCGCCGCCGCCGCCTGCTGCAATCGCTGGGTTAAGTTTTGGCAGAGGTGGCCGCACTTCGGAGCGCGCGCGCGCCTCGCTCTTTCCCCCACGGCCCCTTTTCCGCCGCCGACACCTCTTCCTCCTCCAGCCCTGCGGGAGCTCCGGCGGCTTGCCAAAAAGCGGCTCTTCGATGCCCACCAACTACGGTCCTGGGGCGGAGGAAAGGAGCCGGAGCGCAAGAGAGGAGACAACCGCTGCGGCTGCTGTTGCTTCTCCTGCTGCTGCTGCTCCGCCGAGCAGGAGCCGCGGAGGTGTTGGCGGCGGCGGCAGGACGTGCAGGGAGGCCCCTCTCGCTAGCGCCCTCGCAGCTTCTCTGCGCCGCTCTTGCCCATGTGTTACTGACAGAGCAAAATCCCAACTGCTCGCGGCTCGGCCCCTCGCGTCACGGCGCCTCGGCCAATCCGCCCGCAGCTTGTTCAGGCGGAATAATAAAACCTGCCAATCGCGAAGAAGACAAAGGAATGTCTTTGGGAAGGGACGGGAGGGGGTGTGGGGAGGCCGCGGGGGCGCAGGGAAGGCGGAGAGGAGACGGGGCTTCGTTAAGTCAGCTTCGAAGCACCGCCGCGGCAGAAGCCTGGGCAGGCGAGAGAGGGTGGCGCCGTCCGGGCCGCTCCGTCCCTTTCCGCTCTTTCCTTGGGACCGGACACCTTCTCCGCCTCATTGATTAGAGCGCAGGAAGGGGAAGGGCGGGGGGCTGCGTGGTCCTCCCGTCGGGGTCTCCACCCACCGGGTTTACTCGGGGCGCGGTCCCGACCCGTCCCGTCCCTTGTTCACTTCATTCGCATAATAAGACAAGGGCTTGTTTCTCCCTAGGATCCCATAGCGGGACTTAGGTAGGAGCGTCTCACTTCGGGGGGGGGAACACAACTTGGGACCCGCAATAGACATAGACTTCGTAATCTCTCCCCCCCCCCCCCGAGTTCACTGCAACACAAGCCGCCTTAAAGTCGGCTCGGGGGAAGAGCGTAAAATTACAGCCCCGGGGAGGGTGTTACTCGTTTTGCGCTGGTTTCGGACTTCTTGTTTATTGTGCCAATAGACGGGCATGAGAGCGCGAAGCCTTCTTGCTTAACGCCGGACTGGGTGGAAACGCGCGGCTGGGCGAAAGGGCCAGGGTTTTTTTTGTTCCTCAGATGTGCGTGGTGCTGTTCCGTGTTGGGAGAGTTTTTTACAGGTTAGGTGCGAGGAAGCTCTTGGCATGGCAACAGTGCAGGGCGGCCATCCAGGGAAGGAAAGCGCCCGAGTACCGAATCAAAGAAGCGCTGAGTGCGTTTCCAGCCCCTCTTCTCCGTGCCTCTGCAACGAAGCGGAATATATGGGAGGGTAATTTGCACACAGGGGTAAGGAGGAGCACTTCTTTTAGTGCCCGCTTCTGTGAGTCTCCGATTTCACAGAGTTGGTCGCTCTGGAGATTGTTTCCGTTCTTCTCTTCACCCCCCCCCCCAGTTTCTATGAGTCACAGTAAAAGAAGAAGGGGGGGAAAAAATCTATTTTCCCCTTAAACCGAGTGGTTTAAGTGGATCGTTCCCCCTCCATTTTCCCTCATAGAGTGAAGGAGCTGGATCTGCGTCAAAAGCATGGCCTGGAAGGGTTGGACAGCTGCAATCACAGCTGGGGTGTTCTTGATACTTGCCCAGAAGTCTTCTGGGCACCCATATACATTGGTCACCCTGGGGTTTAGGGGGACCTCCTAAACTAGAGAGGATGAGCGGGTCTTGCTTAAAGCGCTGCTCCTTCCTCCAGTTCTTTTTTTCTGAGGGAGTGGAAATGGAGAAAGTACCCTTTGCCTGCCAGTTTATGAAAAAAAAAACAAGGTTTTTTTTGTCCCATCAATAGAAAAACAATGAGAGTGAGGAGAGAAGTGAGAAAGAACAGTTTCCTTGCTACCAGTTCTCTGCTTTAATCTCCATGGATTTGGAGAAATGACAGTGGAAGACCCTGCTTCTCCCACTCCTATGGGAAGAACTGGGTCTTTTGGGTGCCGGTACTCTCCCCCTCGTACCCATAAGTTGACAAGAGAACAAGAGAGAGGTGCCTTTTGGGCATAGGAGGTGAGTCCTGAGACAACTGACCTTGAAAACCATTGGCCTGTAACCAGAGGGAAGATGTGCCCACGACAGGCTCTTGCCTCTAATCTTACCTTGGCACAAGATGCCTCAGATAAATCAGAGGGCACACCTTGGTTGGAAGACAATGGAAGATAATCTTTTTTTATTCAGGTCAAGAAAATACAGGTAGAAAAATTCCTTTTGCAATTGTTTTGAGCATCATGTTCTTGATATATATACATATATGTGTGTGTGTATATATATATGTGTATATATGTGTATATATGTATATATATATATATATATATATATATATATATATCACTTCAAACTAATCGTCTCCATTTCATTACTTCCTTGTGAATAGTACAACATAATTCCCATCATCCACAGTATATGATAATTCATTTTCAGCAAAGAAAGTGTTTAGACCTATGTATCGGATAGTCTTTATGTAAGTTAGAATTGTGAATAAACCCTTAAAAAGTACTAGCCTAGCCATTCCTCATATAGTCATTCTGAGGCTCAAAAGCATACTCTACAAAATCTACCTGCCTGATTACCTGATACATTTTTATTCATGGTCAAGAAAATGAATATTTGCAAACCTTTATAAAAGCTAAGCCTTCTTGTATGCAAAGAGAGGGCTTTATTATTGTACAACATGAAACATCTCTCATTTTGATTGCATGAAGAACTGGCCAAATGTTTATAACATACAACCAAGCTCTCCTTTATATCCATCCCTGCTGTAACAATTCCATTAATTTGAACTATGTATTTAGACCACATGACCAATAAGAGCTGAGGTGGTGCAGCAGTTAGAGTGCAGGACTGCAGGCCACTTTAGCTGACTGTGTTCAGCAGGTCAGCGGTTCAAATCTCACTGGCTCAAGGTTGACTCAGCCTTCCATCCTTCCGGGGTAAGTAAAATGAGGACTCAGATTATTGGGGGCAATGTAAATATATATATGCACATTGCTTACTGGTGTACACCGCTTAGAGAGTGCTTGCACTTAAAGCGATATATAAGTCTCATAAATAAAATAAAATAAATAAATAAGTGGAGAGTCAGTTTGGTGTAGTGTTTAAGGCATGAGGCTAGAAACAAGGAGACTTCAGTTCTAGAATTCCCCAGGACACAAGGCCAACTGGGTGACCTTGGACCAGTCATTTTTTTCTTACCTCTAGGTAAGTGGCAAACCACTTGAAAGGACTTGTCCAGGCACTCTCTGTGCATCAGACATGATTGAATGGAAGAAAAACAATAAGTGTAACATGTTCCATTAACACAGAATGAAGCTGGCTCTCATCAAAGCACTGGTCTTGAAATTGCCTCCAACTGAAAATCAGTTTAGGTCTAAGTATTAATACTGATCCTAGAGGTAATAAATAAGGGAGTCAAGCCTGTTTCTTTTTTTTTTTTTTTTAGCAGAAATTTCAGAATTTTGGACTTGGTTGCATGCTATAAACATTTGGCCAGTTCTTCATGCAATCAAAATTCGATCTTTTGATCTGTTGACTTGAGAGGGAAAAAAAGCAAAACATTCCTCTTATCAAAACAGTAGTTATTGATTTTAAATACTCCTTGTTGAAATCAACGGGGAGTTCAGCTTAAAAATTAATGCTACTGTAACTCAGTGTTATTAATACCCCATAAAATTTTAAAAGAGGCATATGTTTTACATTTGTCTGGCAGTTAACAATGCATTGTGCCATTTAAAAAGCCAATGCCATCATTCTTTAAAACAAACAACAAAGCAAACTTCAGCAGAGCACAAGACTAGTTAAAGGAATTAAATATCCCACGGCGTAAAATTCTAATGAAAAAATGAAATATTAATTCCATGAATAGGACAGTTGTTGCGTCCCACACATAACAAAATTTTACACAAACATCCTCAAAGAGGAAATATTAATAAAGGAAGCCTTAAGTACATAGAATTCTGCACTTTCATGGAACTTTTAATAGGTATTTTATAGTCTGCTTTGTTGAGTCAAAGCATTTAAGAAGAAACATTTGGATGGTAGGTGAAAGGTTATAGAAATTAATTTTTAATTTCTCTACAGTAGTCTACTGTAGTCAATCATGACTTAATGTGATCACCTGGGATCAATCCTGGTAATCACATCGACAAGTCCATATAGTATCTTGGCAATAGTATGGAAACAGCTTTCATTATCTTCTTTTGGGATATATTTTGACCTTCCTGCTCCGTCTCAAAGCATTAATTGATTTGAGGCTGTATTATAGTCAAATTTAACTATGATTAGGCGAATCACAATGACCTGTTCACATGTAATGTTAAGCCTTAAATGATAGCTTATATTCCACAGTGGCTGAGATTTATGCTAAGCAAAGTTACATTGATAGATGAATTGAGCCACTGCTCCGTACTCAAAATTATTTCTAAATCAGAGAATCCAGCAGCATGTTTTTTAACTAACAGGGCAGGCGGTTTTATGAGCTGTTTATGCCTTTTAAAAATTTGTCACTTGGAAGGCTCTTCTGAGTGACAAATTTTTCTCTTCCAAGTGACAAATTTTCCTCTTCCTAGTGATAAACTCTTCCTCACTTTTAAATAGGACAATCAGATTTAGGCTGCATAGATCTGGACGCCCTCTAGACAGCAACAGAAAGCTACTTAGAATTGTAACACTTTGCTATCATCTTATGGCCACTACAATATTATAGCTCTGCTTAAAAGGCTTCTGTAAGGATATAATATGATAATGGGTTTTTTTGGTCAGTGACCAGATAAAATAAATATATGCAAACAAAACAGAGCAGGAACTCATCTACAAAAACACGGATAAGGATAAACTAGAAGGAACTGTGCATCCTGCTTCATGCACTTGGATATAAGGAAGATACACAATAAAATGACATGCAGTCCAAGACAGGTAATAGCTAGTGAACACGGCACCACTGTTTTAGTTAAACGTGGTCTGAAAATCAAGTAAATTTTTTAAGCTGTGTACACATCACGTGGGAAAACTCCCTCTATGAGAGAGTTGGGCTGTTTCTAAATGTGACATATTAATATCAATCGATCAATCATCCAAAAGGTTAAGACAACTATTGAAAAAGCCCTTTTTCTTCCACCGATCAAGCTGATAAATCCTCAGGCCAACGATAAGACCCAAAGAGACTCGTAGAGCTGTTAAAAGTGGTTGTTCAAGTAACTAGTCCCAAACTAGTTTAGACTTCAAAAGTAGTCACCACCAGCACTGACAATTTATAAGGTGTGGAATGAAAATGTGTTTATGGGTATATAGAGGGAAAAT